ACAACGGCGTCTTCCTTCGGCTTCGCGACGCTCTCCAGTGTCTTGGGCGAAAGTGCGTTGAAGATCAGCGAGAGACGAGTCACCGCACGGTATGCGTCTGCCATCTTCGACAGGTTGCCAAGCGATGCAGCAAGTGACTCAGAACCGGCATTCCTCACGGGGCCCTCGAGCGCCATCGGGAGAAACTGCACGATCGCCATGACCTTATCACGGTTCCACGTGTCAGACAAGTATGTGTGGACTTGTGAGGACATATTATAGTGGCTGATTGTTATTAACTGTTGTTTGAAAGAAGATTATGAAGGCTCCTGTTGCAACACAATGCAATACGGGGCAGAGACAAAAAAAAAAGGAAATGAAACAAGGGCAAGAAGGGAAAAATGAGCCTTGAAAACTTTGGTAGAGACACACACATACGTCTCTGGGCCCGTGGATATGGTAGTAAGAAAACAGCTGGGTTCAAAAAGATGCAGAGACCTAGTTTCGTTATAAAATCTTCGTCATTTGGATTTCTTTCTTCACAGATCCCCAGTATAAATGGGAGCCCCACATCGGTTCCCTAAAAAATACCACTTAGGAAAAAAAAACAAGTTGATAAACTGAAAAGCAAACTAACTAGCAAGACACCTCGTCTGTCCGTCACTCATAGATGGATTACATCACGATCCGGCAATATAAAACTTCAAAGACTACAAACCATCCGTCGTTTATACCGTGAACACAACACTCGTTTGTGTGTAATGCTCATTGCATATGGGACAGCGTTGGGAAGATCGATCAATTAATGCGGCACAGGTAGTGCACGTCGCCAAGTGATTGCATGGTGAAAACAAAACTCGCGCCTGTTCTTTCTGGCATAAAACGCACCATCTCACTTGTATCTTAGATCTGTTCGTCACTCCCTGTCCTGTTCTTTGAGGTTTGTTGGTGTTTGTCTCCTTATTTGGTTTATTTTTATCATTATGACGGGCAAAGTAATAACCACAAGGAGCACCACATACAAAACCAAGAATAATAAGACCTATCAGAGGCATTACTGGAATATGCTTCCTAATTTGGTCAAGCCTAGCACAACAAAAAAAGAATGAAACAAACGAGAACTGACCCCATTCCAACACAAATCAATTACCCATCCAAACGCCATAAACCATAACGGGTGGAAAAAAAAGAAAACTGCCTTCTCTTCTACCGGATTACTCACTTGGTAGGACTTTCGAAGTAGCATATTCCAAGGTCCTTTCCTCTCCAGACCCCTAAGCTTCCCTTAGCCAAGTTGTTGGACCACAAAGCGGTACCTCACGACAAACTATCAACTGGGTTGACGCGCAACCGAACGTACCCAAACGATGCTTGAACTCTGCAGGAGTCCAAGATCCACAAAATCCGATTCAATTACCACAAGAAAGCGTACAACCTTGCACTGCCTTTTTTTTTTTTCGCCGAACCTGTCAACCATGCATTATCAACTAAGACCTGTATGTGCGGGGGCAAAACATCCAAAAAAGGCCATCGGGGTAAGCCGAACCGCCCTGGACTCCGCCAGCACTACGAGAGCAGTGCGGTGTCCTCCAATTGCCCCTGGCGATTTTGATCTCCCCTGATCGCAAAAAGATTATATTCCCCCATCCGTGCAACGATGGCGTCAGTAATGAAAGTAGTGGAAACCCGATCTCTTCTTTAAGAGCATGCTTCCTGTTGCGGAGGGGTGTACGTAATTATTTACGGCCCAAACCGATGGTCCACCGCAGAAGACCAGCCAAGGAAAACAAGGAAAGTAAACCGCGGTTTAAGGTGGATACATGTCGACGCACTGACTTGAAGAAAAAGAAGTAAAATTGGCCAACCAAACCGCAAGTATTGCCTCGCTGCATACAGCAAACGAGACTCTGGCTCCTCCAATTCCGTCACCGTCCACATCCTCACAGCACGTGTATCCCGCAGATTGGCGGTACACTTGCTGTCGAGTGCAACAGTGTGAGACTTGTGATCAAAAACCACCCCACACAAATTGTGCGTGAGTTGCCCGCACTCCGCCGCACGATGGATTCCCTCCATCAGATCTGTCTTCTTCGACTGAGTTTGGTGAATGCCTTGCGCCTCCTCTTTAGGCGCGGCAATCAACCTCAATAAATCCTCTTGCAGGGCACTCAATGTTGATCCATGCGTTCACATTCCTGACTCACCTTTTTCCTGTACTTCTTAAAAGCTCCACACTGACCTTGGAACCGCACCCTCCGCTGATGGAGAAGCTCCTATTGCTCTACCATCGCAGCCGCCCGACTCGAACTATTTTGCTGCTTCACTGCCGCCGCTCTCTGCCCCAGTAATGCCCATTTACGTTGGAATTCTTGCAAGACCTGTGAGTAATCTCTAGCAAACGCATCACACCAAGCCGCAAGTACACCCTGTTTCCACCCAACGCTTCAAATTGCCGAAAGAAGTGGAACCAAAACCCGGACCTCAAAATTGGGCCAACCAGGAGTACGCAAATCCATCACCCAGTCAATTATGGACCAATCAAACCACACTTGCACTCAAGCGCCGTCCTCCAAAACGGAGTTCAACTGCAATAATCGGGGGCGCGGGCCTCGCATCTTCACGCCGAATCCCCATCAATCATAATGAAAACCACTTTGTACGTACATTTTGGACCATGTGACGTTACAAACAGCTCCCCAGGTCAATCCACTCTGGGACAGAGTACAGAACCATAGTCACACTTGCAAATATTCTGCACAAAAAGAAAAAAAAAACCTAAATGCTTTCTAATAACTTCATCCAGAGTGAATCCCACCCAAGCTTAATCAAATCACAAAAACGCAAGGAAACACTAGAACACCCCATCCACCTTAACTGTACCAGACTCATTACAGATGTATATTATTTTCACAAGTTCGTAGAACGAGATAGGAAAGAAAGAAATAGGTAGAGAAGAGGCTTTCTTTATTCTTCTACATCCTCTTTTCTCCCCTTCTCTTTTTCATTTTCACTTGTTTTCCCGCATTCTCGCTTATTTCGGGGACGTGTGCCATACGATACAGCAGTAACACCATATTGCAAATAGGAGAAATAATAAAAACAACAAAAAAAATATAAACAGATGCATCTACAGCTATGTCTACTTCCTCTTAATTTTTATTACCTTTTCTCTTTCCACTTCTCCTTATCGCTTCTTGTTATTCTTTTTTTCTTTTTCCTGCTTTCCCTTCTTCGTGTCAGTTTTCCTCATCCGCAACAGATTTCGTGTGGCTACTGTATTGTAATCTTCAGATGCATACCACGTTACCGGAAGTCATAAGGCATTCTTTTTTTTTTTTTTTTTTTTTTTTTGCCTTCTTTCA